TGAGAAATCAATCTAGTTTATGCTAATCGTTGTTTCTAACATTATGCTAGTCATTGTTTTTGACCTTATTGTCAGTTGTTGGTTCTGATTTTATACCAATCATTATGATTTGGTAAGGTCAAACCAATTAAATTGTTTACCCTAAGACGTAGGAGACCTCTATAGCTAATATGTGTGACGACGCATTAGATGTAATTATATGTGTTGAAATGTTGAACATGTGACACCCTCTACCCCAACATAATTACTTAATAAGCTTGTAGTTCCGGCCAATGGCGTCGGTTTTGATACAATTTTTTGTAATGCCGTTTTGGTCGGCCACAGTAAAGCGCTTTGCTTGGTATACTATTCCGAGTAGTTATTTTCTTGAGTACTTATAATATGCTTACCTGCCTGGCCGTAACGTGTGTTAGCGAGTGTGCTCGGCTTTCATCTGATCTAGTGAAGGGGAAGGGTAAAGCTACTGGTAAGGATATGATGATATTATTTGACTCAGGGCCTCCCATACATTTATTTCATATGCATGTGCTGAAAAGTTGGGTTTGCTTGAATTCAATTTGGGGTTGAGATTGCTTGTGTCTACGCCCGCTTCTGTTTCTATTGTTGGCTCTAAGATGTGTGTTGGTTGTCCCTTGGACATGTGTGATAGGAAGTATATGGTGAACTTGATCTATTTGCCTTTAGTGGATATTGACATAATCTTAGGGATGGATTGGTTATCTGCCAATCACATTCTTATAGATTGTGCCAATATGGAGTTGGTTTTTCCCTTAAGGGGAGGATGAATTGTTGATTTCAACCAGCCAAGCTGAAGTGATGTTGAGAGATGGAGTAGAGTGTTGTATTCTATTTACTGTTGTGAGTGTGGAAACTGAGAAGGTGATCAATAGGTAGGAGTTGTGAGGGAATTTTTGAAGGTGTTTTTGGATGAGGTGTCTAGGTTACCTCCTACTAGGGAGATTGAGTTTAACATTGATCTGGTCCCTGGTGTAAGGCTAGTGTTGGTTGCTCCCTATAGGATGGCCCCAACAGAATTAGTTGAATTGAAGTGTCAGGTGGAAGAGTTGAAGAGAAAGATTGACTACTTCTCCTATGTTGGTGTTGCCTAATCCTAATGAGCCATTTGAGGTGTGTTGTGATGTTTCTCACCTAGGTTTGGGGTGTGTGTTGATGTAGAATAGGATAGTAGTTGCATATTCTTTAAGGCAATTGAAGAATCATGAGAGGAATTACCCTACTCATGACTTAGAGTTGGCAACAGTTGTTTTTGCCTTAAAGGTATGGATGCACTATTTTCATAGTGCAGGATTTAATGTCTTTGGTGATTACAAGAGTCTGAAGTAATTGCTTGATCAAAAGGAGCTGAACATGAGACAGAGACAGTGGATGGAATATTTTAAAATATTATGAATTTCAGTTGATGTATCACCCTAGGAAGGCCAATGTAGTGGCAGACGCTTTGAGTAGGAAGTCAATCCACATGTCTAGTCTGATGGTAAAGGAGTTGGAGCTAGTTGAGAAATTCAGATATTTGAATCTGTATGTGAAGTTGGCTCAAGACCACATTAGTTGTGGCATGATTACCATTGCTAGTGAGTTATTGTAGCAAGTTGGTATGAAGTAGTTGTAAGATTCGGAAATTGTGAAGGTTCTTAATTTGTTGGATACAGAGAAAGCAGTTAGCTTTGAGATGAGTGAATATGGGATTTGAGGTTTAAGGGCAAAATTTGCCTACCTCAAGATTCTGAGTGTAGAGAGGCATTGTTGAATATATGGCGGCCTATCTGACCTGTCAGAAGGCTAAGGTTGAGCACCAAAAGTCTAGTGGTTTAATTGTAGATGATGGAGATCTTGTAGTGGAAGTTGCATAGTATCACTATGGATTTCATTGATGGATTGCCAAAGTCGACTAGGAATAGTGATGTTATTTGAGTTGTGGTTGACAGATTGAACAAGTGTGCACATTTCTTGCCTGTCAATATCAAGTGATCCTTGCAGAAGTTGACACAGCTATATGTGAAGGAAATAGTACGGTTGCACGGAGTGCCTTCCAGTATTATTTTAGATAGGGATCCGAGGTTCACTTCCAGATTTTTGGAAGAGTTTACACCAAGCCTTAGGCACGAGGTTGAGGTTTAGTTCTGCTTATCATCCACAAACAGATGGTCAGTCAGAGAGGACAATTCAGTCCTTGGAGGATTTGTTGAGGGCTTCTGTGCTAGACTACTTGGGGAGTTGGGAGGAAGTCTTACTACTGGTAGAGTTCATGTATAACAATAGCTTTCATGCTAGTATTGGGATGATACCGTTTTAAGCCCTATATGGTAAGAGGTATAGGACTCCTCTATGTTGGTACCAAGATAGTGAATCATTGGTTATTGGGCCTGAGTTAGTCCTACAGACTACTGAGAAAGTAAAGTTGATTCAAGAGAGTATGAAGATTGCCCAGAGTAGACAGAAGTCATATGCTGATAAGAACATGCTAAAGTTGATTAAGTTGTTATGTTGAAATTGTTATTATGTTGTGAGTTGTGGTATGTTGATACAAAGGTGATGTTGATTTCCTATTAATTATGTGGTAGTTGTTGAAAGGTGATTAATGTTGATTATATGTTGAATTCTTTTCACAAGTTTACCTTGTGTTTTCTTTATGATTGAAACTATGAAATCATACTTGGTATGAGAGTAAGATAAGATTAGCGGGATGACTTGTGTTGTTGGCAGTTAGTCATGCTAAAGGTGGTTAGTGTTTTATTGATGGCTACTATGATGTAGTCATGTCTTGTATATATGTTAATTAACACTTAGGTTTATTTTATTTTTAGTACTATATTTTTTCTATACAGCGTGTATGTACATGATACTAATTACTAATTATATGATAAACTCTATCTTCTAATGTATATTGTTTAGTCTTCTGCTACTTAGTAGTTGACCAGTAGCAAGTGTAGTGATCTTTCAGATCATTACATTTAATATTTATTATACTATCCTATACATATTTATAACATTTTTATTAATCCCTTTTTTTAAATTATTAATATGAAAAACATGTATATATTGTTGATAAAATATATAAAATTAAAAATATTAATATTTTATTTATTTAAGAAAGTACCCCCTTTATATGAAAGACTAAATTGTACTTTTAGTCATTTATTTTATTTTTTAAGATTCATTTTGATCATTTTTTTTATATAATGTTCATTTCAACTTTTTATCTTCTAAATTTGAATCAATTTGATCTTTTTAAAATAGTGATCATTTTTAATTTTACAACATGATTTTAAATCTTTATTTGACTGATTCAAGACATAATACCTATATAAAACTTATGAAATTCAGTTGATATTCGAACCCAAAAAAGTAATAAATACAATGTAAATCATATGAAAAATATATTACATGAGCAATTAGAAAATAATATAAAAACAGATTTCTTTAATTTCTGGTTGTTGCTTGGACTTCGTTTCACACAATTTTCATTGTGTATAAGACTATTTTTAGTTCAAATATAAGTCTTTTAATAGTTTTCATATAAGTAAATCTAATAAAACTTGTTTCAAGTTTTAAATCAATTAAAAACTGGTTCAAAATGGTGTTTTAAAATAAAAAATAATCATTGTTTCAAAAGGAGTAAATCAACTCTAATTTAAAAGATAAAAAATCAAAAAGAATATTTTAAAAAATAAAAGACTAAAATAAATCTTAAAATCGAAAATATAATTTAGTCTATATGAAATTATTTTAGCGATTCATATTTGATTTTATATTTAATGCATAAAATTTATAAATAAATTATTATTCTTTTCATTAATAAATAAAATTATTTATTTTATCCTTATTTTCCTTTAAACTAAAGTAAGAGACAGGAAAAGGGAACAAACATATATATCGTAGAAGCCTCGTACCTAATTAACAGAGCTTTCTCAATATTTTTTTTGAAATAGTTTTGTGATTTGAACTTTTAAAGTTAAAATTAGAAAGAAATTATGAACATGTTAAAAATTGCAATTTTCTTTTTGAAAATTTTGATATTGCATGTATCTTTGATGAAATAATGCTTTACATCGGTCTAAGCAATAAAAAATGTTAATTTAATAATAATAAATTGAGATAGAAAAAATTTATAATTAATTTTTTATTAATAAAAAATATTACAATGACAAAAATTAGAATCAGACATAAATTTTTGTAAAATAACGCATAATAAATAATACGATATAAAGATGAAAAAAAAATTAAGTTGTACAATTTATTATACATACATCATTTATTAATCATCTAAACCCAATTATTAAAATGATCCCAATTGTTGATGTTCAAAGTTCCTATAAATAGGTAATTTTTTTAATTTCTGTATTTTTTTTTTTTATGATTACAATGTTGGTTATTACCTATTTTAGTCCTCGCCATGAAACTGTTAAGCAATAATATATTTTTTTCTCAGTAAATAAGCAATAATTTTTTTTTCTCAGTAAACAGTGATTTAACAGATTTTGCTTTTAATTTCTATAAATATAACAGTTTATGTTATTACAGCAGATCGAGAACTGAACAAGTGACAATAAATATTGTAGAATTGAAAATTTATTTTTTTACAGGTACTAAAATAAATAAATAACATTATGGAATATGGATGAATGTTAGGTTAAGAGAGCGTTATTAAAGTTGACATTTAGGCATGATTACCACCACTGATACCGGAAAGCAATTTTATCTGTCATAAATATGTACCACCTATTATTAGTGGTGTAAAAAATACAACTATAAACTTTTTCCATAAACATATATTTTTCTGAATAAAATAATAATAACATAAAATGACAAGTACAAGAACAAGTGAACAACTCAACTTAACAACCTTTTCAAACAAATTTCTTAGGTGCTGAGAGAATTTAAAAAAAAAATAAAAAAATCTAATAAGCATGCGTTTGTATTGTTGCATCATGCATGCTCGCATATATGGTTATGGCACATGACCATGATGTTCCATAAAAGGTCCCAACAAAGAAATGTGTCATTCTCCTGCCAGCACCTTCCTTCTCTTCTCTTCTAAATGTGCAATATGTGAACAGCGAATCATTACCTCAGGACTAGTCTGAGGATTCTATATCACAACAAGTAGAAGAAAAAAAAAAAAGAAAAAGAAAAAGAAAAAGAAGGAGAACAATAAGGATAAGAAGATTTCTGTTGAATGATGCAGAACCTACCCTCTTCTGCTGCTTGTGTACGATGAAATTCTCTCTGGATCAATTCTTCTAATTTTGCTTCATCATCATCAATATCTGTCCTTTGTTCATCTGGGTCATCGCCATCTTCATCTTTTCATGTTAAAGTTTTCACCTTTGTGATTTTGGTTTTGTGGGGTTTTAACTTTCAATTTTGTTCCTCTGTTTCATTGCTGGGAATTGTCCAGGAATAAGAGCCAGAACAGGGTGCATTTGATGCGAAGAGGAGTAGCAGAATCACATAACAAAGGAAAAGGAAAATAAAAGAAAACAAAAAAAGTGGTTCAATTCGATCGTTAAACTGAGGTATAATGAGACTTTTTATTTATTTATTTTTGTGTGTGTTCCTTCATTGTTGGAATTTAATTGCTCTCTCTCCTCCATGTCTATTTTTGTAGAAAACGATAATATAATCATCATTTCAATATTATTGCTACTTCTTTCCGTTGAGCAATTTACAGTTGGAGGGAGGGGATGAATTTTTTATAATATGTGATAATCCAAGAGGTTACACAGCAAAAAGCCTTGAATAATTGTGCATATGGAAATCCTGTTGTGGCATGTATTTCTTGAATTGTTCAGTTTTAAGAAACGTGTTTCATTTGATTCTACTCTTGTTGGCTATGAAGCCTCTGGGAACTCTACAAGTAGAATCCCAGGAACGGTTTTCAGTTTTTCTCTATTTTGGGGTTTTTCTAAATATACATATCAGATTCTGCTATGCTACCGGTGCTTCTTGACTGCTTCTGCCTTCTCTCTAGTTTAATTTTATTTTTTAAATAAGAATATGTTTCAATTTTCTCATTTCTATGCCTTCGGTTAAGATTAAACTAATTTGTTGCGTCTTTGATCGAGTTGTGAGTACAATCGTACTTGACTTAGGAATCTACCAAGGTCGAATTGTTTTAACCAGAAACCAATGTAAACGTAGGTCTAAGTCTAACTTTATCATAATACATTTGTTGTGAATTGTGATGATGCAAAAAAGCTAATATTAGTAACAGATTCATTATTTTAAGATTAAAAATTGATATTGTACCTTATAAATGATTTCATTTATTTATTTATTTATTTTTATTTGTATCTCACAAATACATAGAAATAGCTTTTATGTCTTGTTTGTTTAAGAAGAAATGGGTTAAAAATAGAGTGAAGAGAATGAAAATGAGTAAAGTTGTTTGGTTGAGAAGAAATAAGAGATGAGAAATTAAAAGGTGATGGAATCCATCTTTTTATTTATTTATATTTATTTATTACCCTCTCATCTCTCTTTTATAAATTTTATTTCTCATTTATTTCTCTTCAACTAAATAATTAAATTTATACTCTACTTTTTACTTATTTTTTTTCACTCTATTTCTCACTTATTTTTTTCCTCCCTACCAAACACACACTTAAGGCCATGTTAACCCAAAAAAATAAAAATTGCTCTTTGTCTTACCCCCTAGAGTTTTTTTATTTATATTTTTATTTTAGTACAATACGAGTTCAACTTATTTATCATATAGAATACAGACGATCGAGCAATTGTTGACTAAAAAAATATATAAAATAGCTTAAATTTCCTTCGTATTGTCATTAATGCACTAAACTTTTTTTGGGTGTTAAAAATAGCGGTCCACGTTAGGAGAATTCGATATTCCTATGTCTTCTTGTCTAACTTCTCTCTTTAATAGTCAAGTCAACTTCAGTTGATTATAGTTATTGATTTTAATTAATCATATGATTTAATTTTTTCATTAATATTATGTGATGTGATTTTGATTATTTAACCCCGTAGAAATCATAATTTTTAACATAGTTATTATATAAATACCAATAAATTTATCATATATAATAATTTATAATTTAATGACGGTGTAAAATTCTTTTATATTTTTTTAGAAATCCTTTACACGGTTGATACATCGACTATTTGTTCTAGAAAAAAGAATTCATATCAATAGAGGAGTTTATATGATATGGAAGGTAAGAATGAGAAATAAAAGTAATCAAATGGATTGAGATGCGATAAATCTTTTGTCGAAAAAAGAGCATGATTAATACATTATTTAGTTGAGCAATTTTGAGATGCGATAGATCTAAAACCAAAGTAAGAAACTGTATTGCTTTACACGTATGATGGATCAGGTAATTGAAAATAATTGATTTAGAGAAAGACCTGAGTTTGGCTTATTCTGGGAAATGGTTTAGCGCATAATAATAATGTATGGTTTTAAACTTCTTCAGGGTTAAGGATTCTCCTTGCTCAATAAGAAACTTGGTGCATCCACCGGTTGGATTATCACTTTTCAGGCCAGCTAGGTGGTTGTGTCACAAATAAAATTCTTCAGCAAACTTTTTGATGCCCTGGTAAGCAAGATCAAACAACACCATTTCATGACTTAAAGCCATCCATAGTAGCAATGTAATGCATTTGGTTCATATGGTTACTTTGATTAATTGAACATGTATGATGTGTTATAAGTCATGTCTAAATTTTTGCTTATGAGTTACTTCAAATGTAACAGGGAGAGGAAGATGACTAACACTCCTATTCATGAACCTTCACTTAAAGTGTCCAGATTCTCTTTACTACCAGAAAAACTTGGTGGTGTGGTTGTACTCTTAATAAGGTTCGGCATACTTGTGTGCCTTGTTGCATCCATATCACTTGCTCTCCACTCAACGTTCTCAAAACCGGACCGGTGGTTCCCCTTACCGGAGCATATCCGCACCGTCCCAGATGCATCTGTCATTGACAGTGTATCAACAAACATCTCACATATTCTATTTGGCATTGCTGGTTCAGCAAACACTTGGCACGACCGTAGCAGCTACAGCATGCTATGGTGGAAACCAGACACCACTAGAGGTTTTGTTTGGCTTGACAAGAGGCCAAAGATTTTGCATACTGACATGTCAATGCCATATCAGATCTCTCATGGCTGGGCTCGGTTCAAGTATGTGCATTCAGCATCTGCGGTTCGGATAGCTCGGATTGTTTATGAGAGCTTTAAGCTTGGTTTGCCAAAAGTTAGGTGGTTTGTGATGGGAGATGATGATACTGTGTTTTTCACTGAGAACTTAGTTACTGTGTTGGGAAAATATGATCACAATCAGATGTATTATATTGGTGCAAGTTCTGAGAGTGTGGAGCAAAATGTGATGCATTCTTATAACATGGCATTTGGTGGTGGTGGATTTGCAATCAGTTATGCATTAGCTGCTCAACTAGCCAAAATAATGGATGGTTGTCTAAATAGGTACTTCTTTTTTTATGGTTCTGATCAAAGGGTTTGGGCCTGTGTGCATGAAATTGGGGTGCCTCTTACCAGAGAAGGTGGATTCCACCAGGTACACTCTCTTTGCACTTGTTACATTTGTGTATTTTTTTGGTATATATTATACAATGATATACATAGTTGATCAATCTACCTCTCACTCCCCTCCTTAATTTGTAACATCCACGTACTACAAAGTTTGGAAGTTTAGTGATAGAATAAATAGTATATATGCAGACAAAGCGATTTTACTTTGTTAACCAATAAAAAATTATCATATATGATAATTTTATTGATTTTTATAATAGTTATCTTAAAATGCATTTCTAGTATATTTTTTGATTGATTGATAATGTAAAAACTCTTATCATTATTAGTGCATGGAAATTAAACTTTTGGCAATATCAGCCTAGATGCAATGCGAATCTTTTGATTATTGTTGTGTAAGGAACGAACAATGTCCTATGTTTCAAATTTTGATAATTCAGCTTGGAGACAAATCTTTGGACTTGCGCATGTATAAGTTTTTTATTATCATTCTCTTTCAGCTTGACATAAGAGGGAATCCATATGGTTTTCTAGCAGCACACCCCTTGGAACCACTTGTATCACTCCATCACCTTGACCAATTGCACCCCTTGTTTCCCAACCAGACTCGTATACATTCAATGAAAAAGCTCATGAGTGCGTACAACATTGACCCTGCCCGGATTGTGCAGCAAAGTTTCTTCTATGATCACAAGCGTAGATGGTCAATATCTATTTCATGGGGTTACACAATACAAATCTATACAACATTGTTGATAGCAGCAGACTTGCAGATGCCATTGCAGACATTTAAGACTTGGCGAAGTTGGAAGGATGGTCCCTTCACATTTAACACTAGACCTATGAGCTCTGACCCATGCCAGCAACCGGCTTTATTTTTCCTAGACAATGTTACAGATGTGGGAAGTGGAAGTGTCACCACCTACAAGAGATATGAAGGCAAGGAAGCAAAGTGCAAGAGAGAAGACATTAATCTTGTGAAAGTGCAAAAAATTAATGTTTCTGCCTTGAAGCTGGATCCAGAATATTGGAAGAATGTACCTATCTCTCTCTCTGCCTCTCTCCACACACACAATGAAACGGTTGAACTTAGGGTCTATTTTCATAAACTTCTTCAAAAGTACTTTTGGAAGAAAAAAATTGAAAGAAAAAAGGAGATAAGCTTTTTCATAAGCTAAAAAAAGCTTATATACGAGAGATTTTCTATAAATTAGCTTATAAATTAATTTTAACTTATGAAAAAAGTTGTTTTATTTTTTCTTTCTATTTTTCTCTCTTGCTTAGGGAGAAGTCTATCTAAAAAGATCCCTAGAACTTCTCAACTTGTCATGATGATAACTTGCTTGAATAGAATTGAAATTCATATATCTTTGGATTTTAAAAAATGTCTTTTAGATTGATGATTTGATTTGGCTGTACTGAACCAGGTACCGCGTAGGCAATGCTGCAAGCTTATGGATGGTGGAAACATAAAGGATGGCAGTATGCATATCAGGATAAGGAAGTGCAGACTTCAAGAAACAATTACTATTTAGGGATCAGCTATTTTGTTTGGTTGGCATAGTTAGTAGATTAATACAGCTCAAATCTTATAGTATGGCCTCTAACGTTTCCATCCATGTACATACATAGTTATCAAAATATTCATATAGTCTCAACTTTTAAATAAATAAATGTCACAGGAAATTTTCCATTTATGTATTGCTTCAAATATCTAGGTATTATAGAAAGATGTAGTATTTTTCTCTCCGTTTTTTCATGTTCCGGACTCCCTTTAAAATCATTCAAACACACGTTGTTTCTTATGACTCCAGGAAGACCTACCCTCGTTGCCTCTACATTGTTGTGTATGACCCCTCATTATGCCTCTCTACATTTGAAGTAAATATCTTTCGTACTAGAAATTGCATCACCTAATGGAAAAGATGACCCCTCTGTATTTTGATGTTATTCAAATTTTAATTTTAGTTTAGCGAGCCTTTATGTGCAGGTTCAAATGCTAAGAGCTTAACTGCAGACTTGTCAAATCTTGGAATATTGTTGTGCAGAGCGTGGGTATTGGATAAACTAGCCCAATCTAATTTGAGCTCTATTAAGAATTTCGTATTGTCCGATGGTGGAGTGGTTGTCTGTCGGTCACAGTTTCTCTAATTTTATTTAACTAGGTAACGAATTTTATGGGACAGGTTTATGATAAAATAAGCAGCAATGGATGTAGCTTGAAAGCTTGTTAGAAGATTGGTTTCAAGAGGTAGAGAATTTGGTAAGGTGGTGTTTATTCTCTCCTTTTAACATGCATAAATTTGGTGACTGAAACCTGAATTTGGCCTTGTTTCTTGTCAAATATGCAAGGGAATATTCTTATTTTGTTTTTCACTTTCTCTTATATATTTATATCCTTTTATTATATTTCAATATTTTTACACCTATATATCTCTTAAGAATAAAATTATAAAAAAAAAATGTTGGTTAACCGCTTACTTTTTGATCCTAGTTACCCATTCCTAATAACCCACTCATTCCATGATATTAATTGCTCACTTATTCTTTTAATTCATGATATTAATCACTTTTTTTCTTAGTGTATTAAATTTCTTTCTCCTCATTTAATTGTACAGTCTAAATTTGTAACTTGATACGCAGATAACTTTTTTTTTTTTTAATCGGGAGTTAAAAGTTTAAACTAAAAACATCTATATATATATAAAAATAAAAAAAAAAGACAGTTGAAATATCAATTAGTAAAAGAATCTAAAACCGTGAAAGAGGATTATTAAAAATATGGACACTCTTTTACAGCGGCTGGTCATGCTTTAACATGTTGAATCAGGATGCCATGAAGGAGGATTATTAAAGAGTGTCGCAAATGGCCACTGGAACACTTTTTTTTTTTTTTAAAAGAGTGTCGAAAGTAGTCTTTACAGTAGTAATTTTTAAAAGTGTAGTCAGTGACCATTGCAACACTTTTTATTTTAGAAAAGTTGTGTCGTTAGTAGGCACTCTAGCCTTGTTTTTTTTTAGTTAATCACCTATACATTGTCAGTGTAAAGTTTTTTTTATACTGGTAACTAATTATATCTCTTAATTATGCCATGTCACTGTAAATACATTTACTTTTAACAGTGACATGGTACAATTAAGAGATATAATTGGTTGTCAGTGTAAAAAAACTTTACACTACCAGTATATAGGTAATTAACTCTTATTTTTTTATGTCTTATATATATCTCATTGTGATCCAAAATAGTGCTTTTAATTATTTTTTTTATATTGTGATATCCTCTACTCATCATGCATAAACTCAATAATATAAAGAAAATAGTAATTTGAAAAATATTTGATTTATTAAATAGAAAATTAAAGGTAAATGTCTTATATTACAACTTTTCAAATAATAAGACTGAAAATCGAAAATCGTTACAAAGTATACTAAGTGAAGCAAAAATGTTTTAAAGAAACTAATTTCCTGATTTAGTGATAAAAGAGAAGCAATCCTTAACAAAAGTTCCAATGTCATATCTTATTAAAGTGGTCCCACTATAAAACTCAGTTTTCTCCATAATTAAATTCATTTGCATAAACACACTAAGACAAAACAATAAAAGAAAACAGAAGTAAAAAATATCTCATTCTAACAACCAATGTTGGAAGTGATTGAGTAATTACACACATACAATAACAATATAATTTTGATAAAATACCACTCGAATTATAATTATAACTCCTATTAATTAATTACAGTATTTCATTAATTTATTTATGAAAAGTGAGATGTTACAACACTCCCCTCCTTTTTAAAATTTTGTCCCCAAAATTACTAACATAAACAAACTCGGATATGATTCATGCATTTGGCTTTCTAGCTCCTAAGTGACACTTTCTTCCATGTTCCTTTCCAAAACAACCTTAACTAAAGGGATGCCATTTTCTCTTAGTTGTTTCACTCTCTTATCTTTAATTCTCAAAGGAATTCTTTCATAAGTAAAATTATCCTTCAACTATTGAATGTTTTCAGATTCAAAAACATGAGAAAGGTCGCGAACATACTTATGGAGTTAACAGACATGAAATATACTATTCAAGTTAGAAAGAGACGAGGGTAAGACTATTTGGTAGGCTACTTTACCAATCCTCTTAAATAACTTAGTCAACACCACTCCAAGGATTAACCTTAAGGAATACATGATCACCCTCTTTAAATTCAAGATCCTTTCTCCTCTTATCATGGTGTGATACATGATAAGATGAGAGCAACCCAAAGTAAACTCCTTTCAAAACATGTCCTACGACTTCTACCTTAGTAGGATCTATGACTATACCCCCTTCAAAAATAACATGTCCTAGGAAACTAAGCTCACTCAACCAAAACTTACACTTAGATAGTTTGGCAAAAAGGTGTATATCCTTAAGGGTTTGCAACAACTCTAAGGTGCTTAGTATGTTCCTCCCTAGTCCTAAAATACATTAGGATGTCATATATAAAGACTACTATAAATCTATTAAGGTAGGGATGGAAAATCCTATTCATGTAATCCATGAAGATACCAGGTGCATGAGTCACATTAAAAGGCATAACCAAATACTCATAGTATCCATAATGAGTCATAAAAGTAGTCTTTAGAATATCCTTAGACTTCCCTTAGATTTGATGGTATCTTAATCTTAGATTTATCTTACTAAAAACACATGCTCCCACTAATTGGTCCATAAGGTCATCTATCCCAGGAAAAAGGTATTTATTCTTGATTATTATCTTATTAAGTTGGCCATAATCTACACACAACCTTATATTCTTATCTTTCTTTTTCACTAACAACATTGATGCTCTCCAAGGTGATACACTAGGTCTAATGAATTGCTTTTCTATAAGTTCATCTAATTGTTTCTTAAGTTCAGCTAACTCCTTAGGGGACATCCTATAGGGTGCTACAGATATAAGGGCGATACTAGGTACTAAATCTATAGCAAACTTGGTATCTCTCTTAGGTGGTAAATTGGTTATGTCTACAGGAAACTCTTTCACTAAAAAGATGTCACCTAGCTCACTTTCTTTCCCAATTTGTAAACAGACAAGTAACATGTATACCTTTTCATTTTCTTTAAAACACGAGTTAATTTGGTTGGCAAAAACAAAATTCATACTTTTACTTTCACACCAAAAGAAATTATTTTATCAAAGTAGTTCAATAGGAAATGTTGGAAGATAACCAGTTCATCCTAAGAATTATATCTAGTTGACTAAGAGGCAAACAAATTAAGTTAACTAAGAACTATCTATCAGAACTAGAAATGGGACATTTTAAACAAACATTAGATGTGGTTATAGGACCATCAATGGGGCTTCTACAACTAAATCATACTTTAAGCAAGACACGTAAAATTTCAAAGTTTTGACTAAGGTATAGGAAATAAATGAATGACTTGCGCCAAAATCAAATTGTACGATGAAAGAATTCTCAGCTATGAAACAAGTACCTTGTATCACATTCTTAGATTGAATTGCTTCAGCACTATTAAGAGCAAAGACCCTCCAAGTAACTTTTGGTCATTCAGATTGGGAACTTGCTCCAATTTCTAAGGTGTGGACAATGTGTGTTGCTATGTCCTAGCCCTTGACAATGGAAGGATGTCACCTCCCTTATTAAGACACTTAGTGAAATCATGTCCTTGACATCCACACTTCTTACACCGTTGTGAAAGTGCAAAAGCAGGTCCTCCCACCCTAGCAGCTCTACTTCTATTTGAAGATTCCACAGTTGCCTTACTTTCATTTAAATCATATGTCCTATAGTAGATGACTTGTTCGCACTTCATCTATCTCTTTCACTTTGAAATTTTTCAGGTGCGAAATACAATCCACTCCTATTTTGACCTCCAATCTTCAAGCCTTGATTAAGACACATACCTTTGTAATATGTAGTGGATTCTTAGTTATCTCGATCATATATTTTACACTTGTTCACTAGAGTTAGATAGTGATAAATTTCTTGGTAATTAATAGTTGTTTTCACTTTAGAGCAAAAATCCTTCACGAACTTGATGCACCCCACCCTTACCATGATAGTGAGAGCAATATCCAGCCGGGTTGTCGAACTTTGTGGCATACTTTGCGAGAATACCATTTCCTTACTACAAATTCATGAATTTTACTTCCTTTAACTGCTCTCATTATCAGGAAAATATTTTTCCAAAAATGTCAACTTGAAATTATCCTAATTTAGAAGTGTACAACAACCACTATACGATGTAGGGCACCTTCCCACCAATAGTATGCATCTTTAGTGAAGATGAAGGTTGCAAGGTTGACCTTTTGAGCTACAAGACATTCCATTACCCGAAAGATCTTCTCAACTTGTTGCCCGATCTAGGATGATACGAAAGATGGACACATAATCCTCCACAACTGCTCGACGGTAAGGCATGCTCGGAAAAAACTCAACTTCGAGAAACGTCGCTCACAACTCTGAGGGGTGCTGCACAAAAACCAGGCCGAGAATAAAACACCGAATAAACCACCCCGCAATTTCACAAGTGTGACGAAAAAAGAGGGTCGAGAGAAATAGCTTCATCAGCTTCAAAACACCGCTCAGCGACTAAGCAACGCTACGCGAGTGCCTCCAAAAGGATTACATCTCCACAAGCGCCCATTGCTTGAAAAACACCTAAGAGAGCAAAGTTTAGTCTACTAGATTAAAATGATTTGGACTTGCCAAAAATACCTTCTACGTAAGAATAATTCACATAATGCTAAAATTGGATGAAAGAAGCATAAATTAATTTAATTGGAAATCGATAAAATAAGTTTGATCATACCAATTTTCAATATTCAATTATTTGAATTCTATTAACCAAAAATGTTTAACCAGGTACTATCAATTAAAAGTGATAAAAATATGAAATACTGAAATAATTCAACAATAACAAAAGCAATTCAATAAATTCATCATTGAAGATTAACGGTCGTGCATGACTTTAAAATTTAAATTCATAATTAAACATGTCGTGTTTCCCCCTTAGAACTTATATAACTCTTGAAATTATTGTAAAACAGACTCGTTGAATCTTATGCAAGCAAACCACCCTTTTGCATAACCAAACACATTTATATAGTTGAATCCACCAATAAAAACAATCCCACGAAATTCTTGCAAAAAGACTTTTCCATTAAGAAAATTTGACCTAGTTATATCCCAAGATTCACAACCAGTAGCATAAATCGTTGCAGGCATTTCTTAGTCTCCATTACCCCCTTCTTTACTCACAGCCACTTATGGCTTAACAGGTGCAACCATAAGCTTTCCATCGGTAAAGGAAGGAGTAAAGGACAATTGTCATGAGGGCTCATATCGATGTTTTAGCCCTTCTCTCTCCATATCCAGACAATATGTCAATCTTTGGAACTGCTCCATCTAAAAACTAATATCTTCCCACATGTCCCTAAGGATGCTAGTTTTCTCAATCAGATGAAAAAACTAATATCTTACCACAAGTGGCTTTGGTAATGCCGATCCATCAATAGAAGTTAAGGCTAATATCTTACCACAAGTGGCTTTGGTAATGCGGATCCATCAATAGAAGTTAAGGCTGATGGGTGTCTTATTATCTAACTAAGAAAACTAGCATCCTTAGGGACATGTGGTAAGATACCAGTTTTCAGCTGGAGAAATTCCAAAGATTGGCATCTTGTGTGGATATGGAGAGGGAAGGGCTAAAACATCGATATGAACCCTCATGGTAGCTACCCTTTACTCCTTCCTTTACTAATGAAAAGATTATGATTGCACCTGTTAAGCCTAAAGTGGCTATGATTAGAGAAGAAAGGAGTAATGGAGATAAGAAAATGGCTGTAGCATTTTATGCTGCTGGTTTTGAACCATGGGATATCATTATGTCAGACCTTTTTAATGGAAAGGTCTCTTTGCAAGAATTTCGTGGGATTGTTTTTGTTGGTGGATTCAGCTATGCAGATGTGCTTGATTCTGCAAAAGGGTGGTCTGCTTGCATAACATTCGATGAGTCTGTTTTACAACAATTTCAGGAGTTTTAAAAGCGTCCAGATACTTTTAGTCTAGGTGTGTGCAATGGATGCCAGCTAATGGCTTTGTTGGGATGGGTACCAGGCCCGCAGTCCATGGTGCTGGTGGTGACCTATCACAACCGAGGTTCATTCATAATGAGTCAGGGTGGTTTGAATGCTGTTTTACAAGTGTGACCATAAAAGACTCTAGCTGTAATGTTGAAAGGCAAGACAGGTAGCACTTTGGGTGTTTGGGCTGCTCATGGTGAGGGAAGACCTTATTTCCCTGATGAAGGTGTCTTGGACAGTATAGTTCACTCTGAGTTAGCTCCTATGAGATACTGTGATGATGTTGGGAATCCAACGGAAGCCTACCCTTTCAATGTGAATGGCTCTCCTCTTGGGGTAGCAGTTATTTGCTCTCCAGATGGGAGACATCTTGCCATGATGCCTCATCTAGAGTGTTGCTTCTTAATGTGGCAGTTCCCATGGTATCCTAAGCAGTGGGACGTGGACAAGAAGGGACCTAGTCCTTGGTTTCGTACGTTCCAGAATGCAAGAGACTGGTGTTCTTGAGATGTAAAAAATGTTTTTCTTTTTTATAGGATTTATATTTTTTATATTAGTTTATTTAGAATTTCACCGTAAGATATTCAGCCTTCAATCTAGTGGAAAATTCGAGAATTTTCAATACCCTTCTATTTAGTGCTTGTTTGTTTAATGGTTGAAATATTCACACATTTTTAGATTTATGAAATAACGGTCGAAATATCAAGTGTTTTCAAATTGAAAGATGGCTGTGTCTAATTTAGTTTCTCCAAATTAAAAGACTGACTGTGTCTAATTTCCAATGTCGAAGACAAACTATCATAGAATTGTTCAATTTTATTATGAAAATCTGATATTGCCTGCTTTAGATCTTGTGGTGATGTTTGTTCTTTGGAGCATATGTGCGATTGGGAAGCAAAAGCCACAGCTGTGAAACCTCCTGATCCTGGATTGGAGCAATCCGTCACGGAGCTGTGAATACTCCTGGTTATGCTTTGTCACATATCCGTAATTCCTCCTGTCATATACGTGTCATGGCCATGTTGGAGATTACTCATTTACTCCTAGTTTCTGTTTGGTAGCTTTCAGTATTTGATTTGCGTGGAGTCGTTTATATCCTTACACTGCTGTTAGAATGCATGTTTGGTATGGTTCATTGTTTTAAGATGTGGGACTGGTAAGCAGCACCTTGATAAACTTTCCTGCGTGAAAAAATCTCAACTGTTGATGGAAAATGTTCCTGCGTAAGAACACTCGTCTCCTTACTCCTTCTTAAGCTGCCTTTGAGTCCTTCCGAACCTTCCGTGCCGACCGAATACTAGTTCCGAATGGTGGGGAGGGTACCTGCAAAGGCACTCCGACGATCAAGTCAGTGTTCGGTTTAGAGCAATAAATGTGCTAGTGGGAATAGTAACGTACCTCATTTATGTCACATCACCTGTATATTTATAGTGACATGTTTGGGCCTGGTGGGCCTTCATCCTTGGGATGTGGGTAATACGTGACTTAACCTTAATCCTGTCTTAATCTGGCCTGGTAATTGGTATCTTAGTAGGTATTTGGTTTGCCACGTATTCACCATGAGTTTTTCACTATGTTTTCGGCTAAGCATAAAGCCGAAGGGGTGTCCGGCCAAGCTTGGGACCGAAGGAGTGTTCGGCCAAGCTAGGGGCCGAAGGAGTGTTCGGCCAAGCTTGGGGCCGAAGGAGTGTTCGGCCAAGCTTGGGGCCGAAAGGATGTTCTTGAGTAACATCACTTCTCTTTGGGTGTCTTTCCTAAGGGACTGAAAGAGTGTTCGGCCTAGCCTGAGGCCGAGAGGGTGTTCGGCTAGGTATGGTGCCGAAGGGGGTGCTGTGGTTCCTCGGTTCGGGCCCCCCCTTTCGGACTATTGTCTGACCGAGGGGGTGCCAATTGGTATGGCTCCTCGGTTCGGGCCCCCCTTTCGGCCTATTGTCTGACCGAGGGGGTGCCAATAGGTGTGGCTCTTCGGTTCGGGCCTCCCTTTCGGCCTATTGTCTGACCGAAAGGGGGCGTTTTATCAGTTTAGGTACCCCTCTCGGCCTATTTCGTGACCGAAGGGGTACCCACCAGTACAGTTTCCAAAGAAAACAACTTGATATTTCTTAGTTGGAGATCCTCCAATTTAATGACCCTAGTCCGTTCCTTCACTACTCATACAAGTAGGCAGCTGTTGGATCATTTGCATCCAATAGATACTTCTCTTACGGGCTTAATATCTCAATGCACTATTAATTTAGTTGAGATGGTATCACATCATTACAGTTTTATACGCTTGCATTTTCACTGTCAAAAATCTTGCGGAGTGCCTCATTTTACAGTTTTATATGCTTCTTGATTAAGGATCACCGGTGAGAAATGGGCCCTAAGCAGGTAGCAAAAAAGGGTTGAAAGATACTAAAAACTAAAAGTCCCTTGCTTTGCATAGCTAAATTGATTAGGCTCTAATTTATGAATTGCAAATGCATGAATTAACCCTTCATTATACACCGCTATCCCTTTCATATTTCTTCTTAGCTATGTCCTATGTCCGCCTCTTCCAGAAAGAAAGAAAAATAAAAAACAAAAAGGAAAGCAATGCGCCAGTGCCTTAATTATATTTTTTCTTCTATCTTTGGATGGGTAAGGAAATAAAGAATAAAAGTAAAAGTAACTGAATTATAGGTTTAGAAGGTGAGTTTTGTTTTCATTGCCTACCAAACCACAATGTATAAAATGATAAAATTAAATCCACCTGAATTCACTGTCATATTAAAGTATAGAACACAATATAAAGGAAAAAAAAAAGTTTAATTAAGCGAAAGAATTGACAAATGCTTCCAAGGCAGGAAATGCTACAAGCCTTAGCAAGGCCTAATTGTGGAAGTTACAACCTACCAATAAAAGCATAGTATAAACTAAAATTACATAAATTTAAAACAAAATGGAGAGAGGATAATGTTAAATATCTTTGAATGAGTAAACTGTATTCCCTGTCACTGATATCTGAATTCCCTTCTTCACCGTTCACCACCAAATGTTCCTGAACAATGTCGAAAGACATCTTCCATTGCCTTAAACCCATGTCACTGTTGGGAAATTCTTTTTCTCCATGTGCACATATCCACTGATCAACGATTAAAGCTAAAGATGCTACCTGTTCTTTTTGGTTTTTTTGCTACGTAGGGAACTGTCTGGAGTACGACTATCAAGCTTGCGTTTTACCCCTGCTTGTTTTGGTGGACCATTCTCCTTGAGCAATTTTGTTTTGGCCTTTCTGGCAGCTACTGTAGGTCTTTTTGTCTTGCGTTCCTTTGGTTTTTCTCCTCCAGGGACTTTCTTGTGCACATCAGATTTCGTTGCTCGTAGACCCTGGTAAGATGTATTGGGTTTTCTGTTTGATCTGTTATTACTGCTTGAAGGAGACCTTGAAGCCACAGCCAACCTCTTTGCAGGGGTACTAGGAGCTTGTGATGATGATGGGTTTGGCCTTTTCGATGGGGTAGCATCTGCTTTGGCACGAGAGAGTCTCAACTCTCGGTCTCGAAGCTTCAAGTTCCGTTTCTTAACAACAAATTTAGCAGCTTCCTGCATTTACAAGACATCAATAAATATTAATCAAGAGTTCTTGGGGATAAGACACAGAAAGAAGATTAAACATTCTTTATGCCATTTTTTCTTTTCACGTGCGATAACATTACCTTTCATAACAACAACCAAACAAGTCTCAATTTATTCCCAGTCAAACACCAATTTGAATATCAACACGACACTGTGCTTTTATGCCAGGAAAACATGATGAATTAACAGTGTAAACCAAAGAATAATTCATTGCATAAAGAAAAGCTATCACAAGTTAGCAATCAACATATCCTACCCTAAAATGTAAGGCTGCTCATAGTTCAGTTAAGAAAGAAAACTAAACCGAGTTGAACAAAAGTTAAAAATAAAAAATAAAAAATAAAAATAAAAATAATTGAACTATTTATTTTTAATTTTGAACTGAATTAGTTTACAGTTTAGTGAACTAGTTTTATATTTAAAACTGAACTGAACTGAACATTTTTTAACTGGTTCATTTGTGCTGATTAAACCAAACTGTAAATTCTCTATTTACAATTTCTTCATAATTATAAAATAACAGTATTAGTTTTACAAATTTTGATTAAATTTCTATTTTAAAAAATGAAGCAGTGGGAAAAAAAGTAATACATAAAGAATAAAAGTATGGTTATAAGTGCAGTGTTCTCGAAATCCTCTATTAGGCAAATGCAAGAAATTTCTCGAGGCAATTTTATTGAAAGAAAATTATTAATGTTTATTTTAATTGAATACTCCTAATATATTATTGTTTTTGAAAATAATAATTTGGCAGAATTATAATAAAAGTAAACCATATCTATTTCATAATATTGAAGGTTAGTAATTTATTGAAATTCTAATTATTGATAAGTGAGATGAATTATAAATGAATGGGGAAGGGGAAGAAGAATTTTAATTGAAATGAAAAAAATACAAATTGAGATTAAAGGGACGATATATTGAAAAAAGTAGTCGGTTTTGGAAACAGAGAATACAACACTGTTCTTAAAGAGAATGTAAAAATGTAGTGACAGTGCACTGAACAATGAAGGAACAGTTTTGATTTATAAACTGAACATGAAAAAAAAGTTCAGTTAATCTTTAAAAGTAGTTTAGTTTTTGAAGATCAATTTAGTTCAGTTCACTAATAAATTATTCAGTTCAAAATAATTTTTTTCGAACACCCCTACTAAAATGCTCCTTTTGTACACACACTAAACAACATTTGAAAGGTCAGCAGTCCTCACCAGAGGTATCGGACTTGAGCTATGCAAGCCAATTGAGGGTCATCACCCATCACCGACTTAAGCTATATAAAATGGAACGTGTATTGAAATTATGCTAATTTTTCCATAAGTAACCAGTTTTTCTCACATTTTTTTGTTTACTCTTAATTGCACGATCAAATTTTAAAGAACATGTGCAAGTCCATCCACGCTAATTTTGCAAAGTTATATAGGTTTCTTCATTGAAAGAAAATGTCTTATTGGGTGTCACCCATTGTTAGGTCTGTTAATAAAAATATCTATAAGTTCTAAATATTTGCTACTTATTAATAGGGCACGGGTAAACAGAGGGCCAAAATCAGAATTTCAAATCATATGGACTTAAAACAGTGTAAAATGCAGCTTAACTGTTACAGCTCCAGTCTTGTACATAACAACATATTATAATTATCAATCGCAGATACAAAACTGCTATATTGGGTTAACACATTGTGTGATGACATCTATTACGATATAATGTATTTTATATATTATATATTATTTAACTGGTGTTGTTTATGTATGATATAAACATAAGAAAATGACCTAAAATTAAGCATTTTTAATTAATAGTCCAAAAACAAGGTCTTTTAAAGGAATGCAGTTATTTTCTAAACTGAACACATAACAACCAAAGTCAAGGAATATAAATGTAAAAGAATCAAAATAGAGACCACTTATAAAAGTAGGGAAACAGCTTCAGAAAACAGGACACGTGAGGCTACCCAGCCACTCAGAAAACAAAAACGGAATGAAACAAGGAATAGAGACCAACAGAAGGTTATGAGGTAATGCATAAGATGTTTGGTAGTAGACAACACCCAGAGTGCTTTGAGCTGGCCAGAAACACTGCCAGAAAGCTGGATCCGTGTAAGAAAGGTTTGTTTAGTCTCAACTCTCAAATCAGAAGCACATGGGTTTTCTGATGTAAAACATTGAGAAATGGAAGAAAAAAATACCCCCAAAAGTGGCTCCAATGATGCACAAAAACAAAATGCTAAATAGGGAACATTGCCCTGTGAAGAATGAGGAAGCACTGCAGCAGAAGCAAATGCCACATTTCCATGATAGCAGGCATGATTGGCAGCTGATATTCTAGCTATTTCAAAACATTCTGCGACAGCAAATGAATAGTGACCCAAGGCTGCATTGCAATGCTCCCCCGCAATAGTAATAACTACGAACATATCAGCCTCTAACTAATAATACTAACATTGAAAGAAAGTATCTTTTAAAAATGATGTGTACCTAGTTACACTATAGACCTGCCACAATATATGAAGCAGGCAACCCGTACCACAGTAGGTAAACAAAAACTCAACACAAGATCAATCAACTGTCAATTTTAATCTTTATGATCCAGGTTATAGCACAAAATATCTCCTTTTCAGAGATAAATAACATGCAATTTTAAAAGTAATCATACAAATACAATGGCTTCTCCAACAAAAAAAATGAGCCATTATGGCCTTATCAACCACAAATAGCTCCATTAATTTCACCAACGAAAGCAAACTATCAAAGTACTTGATAACATCATTATAACATATATGAGCTAAATATGTAGAGAACCTAGTGTAAGAAATTTTGCGAAAACGTAAGTAACTATTCGGGTACCTGAACAGCATACCTTTGTTTTAAACAGAACATAGGCAATACCCTTTCCAACACTAAGATGAGGATCTCGAATGACTCTGACAGCTTCTATATTTGATTCTGTGTTGGATATACCACAAAACAACTGATACACCTCTTCATCCTGCATAGAAGGATCACATGTTAGATCCATTAGACAACAATAATGCAATTCTGTGACCTCATCACCACAAATATAAAACTATTTACTGGAAACACACCTTCACATCAAATGGTAGGTTGCCAACAAAAACAGTTCTCTCATTATCATAAAGTGGAACACTCTCCCCTTTATGTTTCTTGCGGGGTGGGCATGCCCTATCAACACGAATGTGATTTCCTTCAACCTACAGCCATATGAATAAACGATAACATTTAAATAAATGTCAACTGCAAACCTTCACAATAAATATACAAGGTTAACACCATATTTGATCCACTCCAACCCAAATTAGCGAAACAGGGCCATACCAGTGTCATGTTGTGCGACAAAGAAGCCTGGGCCGATTGCTCAGTTTTGAAAACAACGTATGCATGAACACTGCAAAACACAATAATTTTCAATTAGAAACATGTGGAAAACGGTATCATTTACAGAAAAATGCTAGTAATCTTATCAGAATATCAGACTGAATACAAGGCTTAGACCACTGAAAACAAAAAAGAAAAAAAAAATTCACTTGCAAAATAAAATACATGAAAGGAAATTTTGTAGCTCTCCTTGAAAATAATTAAACAAAACATAACGATTTCTCCAAGTCCAAAATAAGCAGAGTTAACCATTTCCCATAGAATCATTCCAGATCAAATGAATAACATATATGGTTTGTTTGGCCAATTTTTCCAGAAGCAATTCTAGGAAAGCAAAATAAGAAAGAAAAATAAAATAAGTTTCTCTATAAGCTAATTTGTAGAAACTCTTTGCAATTAACTTTTCCAAAATCTCATCCTTGACTTATGCATAAGCGAGGTTTAACTCACATAAAAACTTATTTTGAATTTTCTTCCTATGTTTATCTTTCAGAAATGCTTCTCGAAAAGCTTATCCAAACAAACCCATACAAAATAACCACATTCTCTACAAACAATTAACAATATCCGGAGAAGTCATAGCTCAATACCCAGTTATCATTCCATTCAGAATCTTTACCTATCAGCAGCATCATTTATTTTCTTCGCAAGGATAGCTCCTTTTCTTGGTTTCTTGGTCTGGTTCATCACAAAAACAAACAAACATAAATAGAGTTACATCCCGCCAGAAAAAATTGAAATCTCAAAAGTACAAAACACACGCACATAAGAACAGAAAAACCTACATCCTGAATTGGGACAGAACGAATCCTCACGGACTCAACCTCGCCAAACTTCTTAAACTCTTTCAACAGAGTCTTCTTTTTCACCTTGAGAGGCAAATTCCCAACAAAAATAGTCCTCAAAAGCTTATCCTCATCATCAAAACCCTCCTTTGAAACCATCATATCAGCTGGATCATCCAACGTCTTCCTCTTGCTCCCAACCGTTTTATTCTCAATCCCTTCATTTGCGCCATTCTCCACTGCCCCATACTTCTTCTCCTCCCACTCCTTCTCAACTTCGTCCCTTTTCCTTTTCCTCTTCCCAATAGCTTCTGCGGCCAAATTAGGGTCTCTTTCCCTTCCTTCATCGGAAAGGCGTTTTCTCTTCTTCTCCGATTTCTTCGAAACTTCGATTACGGGATCGGAATCGAGGGGTGGGGTTGGGGCTTTCTCCTTGTGCCTCTTCCGCTTCTTCTCTTCATCGGCATCGGGGTTCACGGGGGCAACGTTGTTGGGGCTCTCAGTGTGGTTGGTTGAGTCGGAAAGTGGAGCGGGTTTTCTCCGAAAAGGGTTGTCGTCGGAAAATAGAGAGGCGGCGGTGCTTTGTTCCGGCGCGGTGCTGAAGAGCTTGGTGAAAATGCTGGAAGGGGATGAAACGGTGTCGGTTTGGGGCGAGTCCTTAGATTTCTTCTTGCCCATTGGTGAATTGGAAATTGATGGAGGAGCTGTTCCCAGAAACAGACTCAGAGAGCTCTTCTAATAAGAAACCCTAAAATCAGTTTAAGGGAGGCAAGGAAGGTAAATCCGTAAATCCGTAAATGCAATTGCTAGGTAGGAAATTTTAGATATTTATTTTCACAATAAATAAATAAATATATATATATCATTATTTTATTTTGGTTATATTTTTTATTAATAAAAAATTACAAAAAAAATATTTAAGATTGGAATATCTTATCCATACTGTCCATTTATTATCAATAACTTAATTAAAATCTTATCTAATAATTTCTACGCAATAAAAATTTATGTTATAAGTACCTAAAATTTAATAAATTATAATATTTAAATATATAGGTCAATATAATTTTAAAATTTTATGTGTTATTATTTAAAAATTTATAAAATATTATTTTATTTTAAAATTTAAAAATTAAATTTTGATTGAAAATAAAATAAAATTTAAAAAGTAATATTTTTTTAAAAAAATAACATTACATATCACAATAAGTTTAAAATAACAAATAATTACTAATTACTATTTATCTAATTTTAATTTATAAGAAATAAATAAAATTCAAATTAAAAGATAATTATAAAATTATTTTATATATTAATTTAAATTAATGAAACAAAAGTATCGAATAATTTTTAAATTTTTAAAAAAATTTACAGATTTAATCTATACATTAAGAATTTTAAATTGAATAATTAAATCATTAAAATTTAATTTAAAATATAAATTATTCAACCAAGTAAATTTACTTCCTAAAATAAAGGATACGTCCTCATTGCTTATTCAAATTTAAGTAATTGGCTAACACTTTTCACTTTTCATTCACTACATCAAACTCAGCGAATAACAAATATTAACTACCTTTTGTAAAGAGATAAAAAAGGAACCCACCGAATTCATAGCCTCATATATATAAAATTACAAGAAATGTGCAAGTTATGGAAAATTGAGAAATCACAATTCAAAATAAATACATTTCATTTTGAAAAGATGATACTTGTTAAGGCAAACAGAGGCTTAAAACAAATAGTTTTAATTTTGCACTTCCTTGATCTCCAATAAGAACCACAAGTTTTTAAAGAAAAAGATGAGATCTTCCAACTCTTAGCCACTACCCAGTAACCAAATGCTCCTAAAAGAACAAAATCACAACACTTAACAATGTTTGTTTCTGCCAAATTTAGTCACACAACCAAACGGTGTGTGAATGTCTAGATGACAAGAGGGAGTTAGAATCTGGCAAGGAGAAGCGCACAAATGAGTGTAGCAAGGACGAAACTGTATAGTCATAGATGCACAGTGGAGAGGGCCACTTTAGTATCTTTTGTTTCCAAAGAGCATTGTTATATATTTCGAAAAAAATTTTGAATAATATTTTTAAATAAATTTATTATAAAATAATTATTTAATTTAAAATTTTATTATTTAAATTAATTTTTATTTAATCGGATTAAATTTCACAACAAATTTTCGGAAAATGAAGCATTTTTCTTTCTAAAAGGTCAATAGTTGTAGAATTACTTAAGCCACTGTAGCTGCAACGACAAAAGTGCTGAAGCGATAAACATGAGGCATTTAACCTTAATAAATTAAAAAAGTATTTTTTAAACGGAAAAACGTCTGAGCCGCGGACGTTTTGGAAAAATATATAGAAAAATCGTGGATATGCTTGAGTTCTAGCTTGCGCCTCCTTGGTTGGCGTGTTCCTTATTCACGTGCTTCTGATCCCTCTGAACCTCCTTCACGTCCGGTCTCGTCGGTGCAGGCTTCAGAAGATGCCAAGGATGCCACAGTGTTGAACAGAAAGCGTCAGCTGGAGTGACGCTTCTGAGTCCCGATTGCCTCTTTAAATAAGAGGGTGAACGAGTGAGGGAAGCAGAAGAAGAAATTGAAGAGAAGGAGTAAGTGAAAGATCGGCCGCGAGCGAAGAAGAAAATATAAATTAGAAGAAGACATTTGAGTGTGAGAGAAGAGAAGGAGAGTTGTGCGAAGAAGAACAAGGTAAGTTTTTTATTTTTTAATATTAGTATTTTGAATTTTTATATATATAATTTTAGCCTTTAGATTTATTTATGTGAAAAATTTGTTATTCAAATTTTTAGAAATTTAGATTTTTTAAGTCTTAAGAAATAGAAGAGTGAATAATTTTAATTTTGCATGATTTTAATTTTTTTTTATGTTGATGTCCATGTTGAGAGATAAAAAAAAGTGATTAATTGTAGTTTGGATTTAGAATTAATTTTGTTATGTCATATGTGGCATATAATTTAATTTACAATAATTTTTTTTTTTAAATTAGATTGAAGTTTTAAAATTTTTTTTATGATTTTAATTATATGATTTTTGTGCTGTAGTATAAGATTATTTTATTTAAAGTTTAATTATTTATTTATTATTTAGGGGTTTCAATATTTATTATTTAAATTTTATGTACGTATTTCTTGATTTTGTATAATAAAGTTGATTAATTTATATACTTGAAGTTTATATTTGATATTTGTGTGTATATATACTAATTTAATATTTATTTATCTTTTTAACTTTGATTTACTAATTGTGAATATTGTATAGTTAATAGTTATAATTTCATAATGCCTCATCAAAGAGTTAATCCGGGACCCATTAATGATTCATTGTTGAGTATGCAATCAATTCACGTCTCTGAGCACATATGGAATGGTCAGCCTGATAGAGTTCTTCGTATTAGAAGAGCTACCAAAAGTGGCCATCGAGATGGGTCAATTCCTAACGAAGTTAGACCTTTTCTTGCACGAGCGGGGATGTTGGGAGTGGCTGAGATGTCATACTTTCCTATTGACCACCACTTAATTTCAGCATTAGTTGAGCGGTGGAGACCCGAAACTCACACTTTCCACATGACATTTGGGGAGTGTACAATTACATTAGAAGATGTTTCAGTTTTGCTTGGTCTTAAGGTACATGGCGACCCAATTACTGGTTGTTCGACATATAGATGGGTTTCACTTATTGAAGATTTATTGGGAATTATACCACCAACAAATGCAATTAAAGGTGGAAGGCTGAAGATGAGTTGGGTTGATCAATACTTTTCGGATGTTTCCATGCATGTGCACAGTGTGCAACAAATGGAACGATATGCCCGAGCTTATATTTTGCGATTGCTTGGAGGTATGCTTTTTTCTGACAAGTCTTCAACATTAGTACCAATGCGATATTTGGTCATGCTAACAGATTTAGATCGATGTGGGCAACTAAGTTGGGGATCAGCCGTGCTTGCTGATTTATATAGAGAATTGTGTGTTGCCACTAATTATGACCATAAGGAAATTAGTGGGGCATGTGTTCTACTACAGTTGTGGGCATGGTATCGGATGCCATATTTTGCACCCCTAATGAGACCATTAAATATTGTTGGCGTTCCATTAGGTGCAAGGTAATATTTTAAATTAAATTGTCTTATTAAATATTAATTTAACATTAGAATAACATTTTTAATTAATTTGTTATTTTCATATTTTCAGGTGGAATAGTGCCTTGCATGCACCAAGAGAAGAACAAAAGAAAACTATTGTTCAGATTCGCGATGCTTTAGATAAGATGAAGGATAAAGATGTATGTTGAAAGCTTTTGTTATTTACAGTTTTAAAGTGAATATGTTGAAATTAGTATTCATTTATGAGTTTTTTTTGTGTTTTTTTTTATGCAGTTTGTTTGGCAGCCATACTTTCAATATTTTTATTCTCTACCATCATATTGTGTAGAAAACACAAATATTTGGAGGGCGTCAGTGCCGTTGATAGACTTTCATATAATTGAGTATCACCATCCTGACCGTGTGATGCGTCAGTTTGGCATGGTACAACACATTCCTCGTCCTCCACGTCAACCAGATAATTTGCATGATCTAACTTTACGTGGTAAAGATGATATTGATTGGCGTGTTCAACATGCTATTTTTGTACACGAGTGGGAAACAAGGTTAGACTGTATTTGGACACAAGACTCTTGTACTACTACACATTTAAGTAGTAACTCAGAGTACATGGTGTGGTATAAAAGACACACCAGACGTTGGATTGGGCACATTACTGCAAAACAAGGTTATGTGGTAAGTCATATATGACAATAAATGTTTTGTAATTAATTATTTTGGTTTATATTTGTGTTTTATATCACGTTGAACATGTAAAATTAACATTTTTTTTATGTATAGGAGGACATTATTGAGGAAATGTATCATAAGGCTAAAACAGAACCTAGAAGTAGTTTTTCGATGAAAGAATTGACTGATAATCTTGCTAACTGCCTAGAGGTATTCGGTGAATTCCACCGACTTCAATATCCCTCTATAGGTGCTCCAACACCATCACAAGATGAGTCTAAACCAGTTGTTGTGAAAAATATTGGGGCAGGCCGACAAGAGGGTCGTGGCCTTGGACGTCGACGTAGGCGTGTAGAGCACGAGTCTATAGAGGTATTTGTGCCATCACATGACCCCCCTGCGGGTACTTATTACGCTTATCCAGTGACACCATCCGGGGGTTTTAATCCGTATGTATATACTGCAGATGATACTAGTGTTGAAACTCCTAGTTCTGCTGCTAATGTTTCATCTCCGTTTGATACACATTTACTACCTTCATCTGGATGTTAGACATCATGGCTGTGAATGTATTTTAACACCTCATGATTCAACAAATTCACGATGGAGGCCTAGGAGATGATTCATTTGTATTTGTTTTATACTTTTTGTTTTTTATACTTTAAATTATGTAACAAACTATAATTTATAATTTATGTTATTCATTTTGATATTTGATTACTTCAACAATTTGTTGTGTTCTCTTTATTTTTCTCCCCATTTCTAGCTCGAAGTTCTTATATATGTGGTTAGTCATGTTTGTATGTAAAAAATGAATGCACAATATCAAAGCAACTAGTCAAATAAATTGTTCACATGTTAAGAATCATGAGTATGATTTGTCATTTCTGTCTGTAAAAAATGAAAGGCCTAGATTCGACCTACGAAATACACGCACAAGATCAAAGTAACTAGTCAAATTAATTGTTCACGTGTTAGGAATTCTGAATATGTTTTGTCATTTATAATTTTCTGTTTGTAAAAAATGGACGACCCAAATCTCATCGACAAAATGAATGAATAAGATAAAAATAATTAGTCAAATTAACTGTTCACGTGTCAGGAATACTGAATGTGATCTGTCATTTTTTGTCAGTACAATTGACGTTTTAAGTACAATTTATTTGTTCAACTGAAAATGTCAACAATACTGACATTTTTAGTATAATAATCTTCAACTAAAAAACGTTAACTGTACTGACATCTTCCTTGTAAAGTAAAGACGTCATTCCTATTGACATTTTACTTATAAATATTCACTTGACTAAAATAATTTATTTTAGTAAATTAAATTTTAAACAATTTATTTCTAAAAATATTAAAAAAATTATTTATTCAAGCCAAAAAACCTAAACATGAAGGCAAAAATATTTTAGATCAATGCTAAACTGCTATAATACAATTTTTTTAGCACTCTACTTGTTATATTTTTTATTAGTTAAATTTAATAAAAAATGTAATTTTAACATTCTATTTTTTTATAATTATTATCAACATATAACTAATTATATTTTTATTTTTATCTCTTTTTAATCCAGACAAAGACATCAATCTGGGTGTACAATTAAACATTTTCCTATTTTCCATAAGGTCACCAAGGTCATACAATTAATCTACTGTAGCTGCAACGAATGGAGAGCCTCAGTTTGGCAGATATTTTCCGAAAAGATCTCTCCACGGTAGTATGTTTACTGTTCAATTGTACAAAAGGTAGGCCCAATTTAATCATCCTGACATTTGATTGAAAAATAAATAAATTAAAGGTACATGTACTATCCATGTCGGATACCCAAACTAAGTTACATGACATCCGCCAACATGCAAGCCACAGTCCATTAAGTCCCAGTCATTCATAGGCCCAGCTTAACTCTATTCTCGTTTAAGGAAAAAAAATCTTAATTTATACCAAGATACACGTACATTATATATACGAAATTCACACATTTTTTAAAATTAACTTTAACATCAAAATCTCTTTTATAAGTACTATCTTATTTCAACACGACTAACGTGCCAAGCAGAAGAGATTCACCAATTTTATCATAGAAATCATCCCTAGACTGATTTCAGGTGAAAATAGTCCATATTTTATAAAAAAAAATTATGTAATAAATAATGTGGTAGAGAAAAAAAAAATCCATAATTTATAGGCATGTTACTGTCACTATGTTAGCTAATCAGCTTGAAAGCCACTCCCTAATCCAAATTTGGTTTGAATTTGCGCTTCAAAAAAAGGGAGTTTCAATTTTGCAATTAATATGTTAAAAGGTAAAGGCATCGAGCCATTAACAACAGTTTCAAAATCCATGCATGCTTACCAAGTTACCCTCAAGTGTGTTCTGTTTGGTGAACAAAAATAAAAGCTTTTCCCAAACCAAGGAATTCAATTCAGAGACGAAATTGCGGGAAAGAGGCACACTACAATTGCAGAAAGTGAATAGGCAAATCTTAATTTCAGCTTCCAACCGAAAAACACTTATTTCAACACATCAAGTTGAGAGTTGAGAAAAATTGAGCTTGGAACATGGTACTGAAGACAATGAAAAGCTGCACTGCATTAACAAAACTTTACAACTCCGTCCACTTATGTATGATAAATGTGAACGAAATAGCGCAAAACATTACATTTAGATGTAGAAGTAGAAACAAGTTACATTACATGGTAGTAGAGGTAGTTGTTTCTAGTGTATGGCCTTTGTTGTATGTAGCTGAGGGTTAGACACACCAACACAAACAAGACCATTTATTATTGCTATCTATCGTGTTGTTATAGTTAGATATATATATATAACACTAAGGTGCCATTCTCGAACCCCCTAACTACACGCGATCATCTCCGTCGCCGTCGCCGTCACTCCTCCGTTAACTTTCTCTTCATCATCCTCCCCTGCTTCCCACATGAAGTGCGCGTACGATCCCAGCACCGTGCTGCATATAAAACAAATTATTAATTATTATTATTCCCTTTTTGGCTAAAATGTAAGATATATATACCAATCATGAGGAGCGGCGTGAATTGCTTGATCGAAGTAAGATTTGGCTCTCTTTTCGTCTCTCTGCGTTTCCCAAATCAACGTTCCGTACAGCGAAAGCAATTCGCCGTCGCCAGGGTCCGCCAGAATCGCTCTT